CGAATTACCACGCGTCGAATTACCACGCGTAGAATTACCACGCGTTGGATTACTAAGCCCCGAATTACCACACGTGGAATTACCACGCGTTGGATTACCACGCGTCGAATTACCACGCGTCGAATTACCACGCGTTGAATCACCACGTGTAGAATTACCACTCTTTGAACTACCATGCGTTGAATTACCATGCATAGAATTATTACTACGCGTATAATTACCACGCACCGAATTACCACGCGTGGAATCATCACGCGTGGAATTACTACGCGTTGAAATTACCACGCACCGAATTATTATGCACCGAATTACCTCGCATCGAATCACCACGCATTGAATTTGTAGCAATAAATTGCAGATGAACTTCCATATGATTTAGCAGCATCTTTTTTGTGATTTCTCCTCCTGTTCCTCGAAACACGGATCAAATATAAATCCATTCCCAGGAAACAACAAGCAACATCTTACTCAGGAATTCTTTCTCCCGAATCAAAATATTCCACGAAAACAGAATTCAAGCAGAGTTATTTTTGCCTAACATAAGCGAAGGTTACGCAAAGTCTCCCTGCGACAAAATACCCAAGTATGCCGCATCCGGCAAAACGCACCCAGCCGAACATATTTTCCGTGAGGAGCGACTCATTGTAATTCGTAACGACGTCGTGTAAGAGAACAGATAAATACGTTTCCCCGGGTCGGTTTAATTTTCTATGCAGTCGCTGGACCAAGACGACAAGCATTTTTGAGCGGATTCGATCGCGCGTGTCGTGTTCCGCATACACTCGTGTTCACGCTGTTACGTGTCCCGCATATTTTAAGCATCTAGATTTGTCCCGTTCGCGAAAAGATTCTCGGAAACACGCGAGAATAGATTGTTTTGAATGGACCGCGGAAGCCGACTGATACCAGAAAGGTTAAAGTTGAATAGTTCCTATTTGTTTGATAGATAGCGGAACAACGCTGAAGCTGAATAGTAGAATTCTTCTTGGAACGAAAATATTTGCATCACGGTGACATGGAAAGAAGGATGGTTCAAGAGATTAAGAATTTTCGTGTGGCATTTAATGTTGTAGACGCTGTGTAGAAGCTACGCTATCATTTCGTGCCGTAATGTCACGAAACCGATATTTTTCAGCCGTTTCGCATTCGTCAATAACGAGCAGCAAACATATACAATCTCGACAGCGACTCTGCGGCACGCGATGGACACTTTCCTCGTGGAATCGCGCGGCTGCGTGTCAAATTGAACACTGACCTCGATCCATTTTCTCGGAGTGTCGATAAAATTGATACGTGTCCGAACGTGAGGCTCGTCCGATCGAGCTGACACGGCAGTTACCGCGATTACATAATCCGAGATTTCTTAACGCGTCGCGCGTTGCAGTGAATATCCGATTGAACGGAGGAATAAAAATATTTCACGGTCTCGGCACGCAGATAACCCCTTCGCAATGTCTAAGCGGTTGAGATAGCAGGATGTCGTAGGAAGAGAGAACGTTTAACATTGCAAACACGGCTTCTTAAAATAGAAGCGGACGCCCTTGCGAATGGGATCCACGAAACGATTCGGCTAAGATTTACGGAGCTGCACTTTGTCCCGTGAGCCGAATTCGTCGCTTGATCGCCTGCGATCGCGCAGAGAAAGTTTTCCAGTCACGCTAACTGCATACGAACGCGATTTTAGTAGGTAAGCAGGTTCGACACCTTGCGAAATTATCGTCAAGATAACCAATATCTCGAATGGCCGCCATTTTGTGCAAACGCGGAAGAGGATCCATCAATGGCGGCTCGGGACGATTTACAAGGGTCTCTAACGACGAAACTGAAGTATTAGGTCGTTTAGCGTGAAACTCAGATATCTGGAACAGAAACATTTTTCTCGAGAGACAAAAGTCGTTTATCTGTAATCGAAGAGTTGTGTTCCCATTATCGGTACACTTTCGCGATTCCAACGTCGCTATAAAATTCTGATAATACATGCGCTGGATTATCATGAGATGGATTACCACGCGTTGAATTACCACGCCTCGAATTATCTTGCGTTGGACTAGCATACGTTGGACTACCACGCGTCGAATTACCACGCGTTGGACTACCACGCGTTGGACTACCACGCGTCGAATTACCACGCCCCAAATTACCACGCGTTGGACTACCACGCGTTGGACTACCACGGGTTGGACTACCACGCGTCAAATTACCACGCCCCAAATCACCACGCGTTGGTCTACCACGCGTCGAATTACCACGCACCGAATTACCACGCGTTGGACTACCACGCGTAGAATTACCACGCCCCGAATTACCACGCGTTGGACTTTCACGCGTCGAATTACCACGCGTAGAATTACCACGCGTTGGACTACTACGCGTCGAATTACTATGC